CATCGATCTTCAACAAAATATTTCAATGCAAATTGCATATTTTTATGTCAAGGTTCATTAGACAATAGGACATTATTATGGTTTGACACAAAAAGAACCTCCCAATTGCTTTACAAAAAGACATATTGTTCTCATATTTAGATGCACAAAGTGGTAGAACTAAGACTAATATCAATGTGCATTACTTGAAATTTATAAACCCAAAAAATCTACCTTGGGTTAATAATAATGGATACTCAAATTCAGAGAACTTGCATGTTATCAAAAAACCAATAAAGCAAAAGCTATTGGAGATTACTCAAAACCCAAAATTTTAGATCTTACAAGGCAAATTTTCCAAGAATATGTGGAAATTTGCTATTGACCAAAGACATAAACTATGTATCCGCGTATAATTGATTTGATTTGAACTATATTACATCGCCATTATAATTTGCATTGTATTTAGAGCAGAGGCGGATCTAGAAAATATAATGAGTGGGGGTCTAATATAAAATATAACATCTTATAATGAAAAGTACAAATACAAAAACATATTTCCATAGTCACTCTTTACGAGTTTTCATGGTCTGACGTCGCTATATAATAACATCGTTATCAAATTTTCAAGAAGGTTTTATTTTTTTCGATCATCATTAAATTTATGATCGTACTTTCTTTCTGCCCAGTGATACCAAATTTCCCTCAGACTAATCTATTTGATTCAAAGTATATGCTATTGTGACAATTCACCATCTACTTTGTTGACAAAGTTTTATTCTGAAAATATCTCTCTATATATGATATTCAAAAATAATATAGTAAATATACAATCAATGAAATTATCTATTTGACATATCACACTTTAAAGAACTTTAAACACCTAAAAAAGGCTTGAATTTGCAATTTCTACATAAAGAGAATATATATACCAGTACCTAAAATAATAAAAAAAATAGCAATTTTAATTTATATCCATCAAAATATATAGAAAGGGATTTCGTTATCTTGCAAGTCTTCTTTTCGAACAGTTGGATCGAAAATTAACAAACTCTCTAAGAGCGTGATTGTATACAAAAATATCCGCTCAAAATGAGTTATTTTGGTTAAGCAAAGTTAATTTTTTTTAAAAAAAGGTTATATAGTTAGATGTTAGTGGGATTTTGATTCTATATTAAAATAATATATAAAATAAAATAATTAAAGTTGATTCGATGTAAAAGTAGGAGATAGATGAATTGAAGTGCTAGTTAGTTAAAATTATATGAGTGAATGAATAGTAAATTAAAGTTAATGTAATGTGTAAGAATGATTGATTGATATTATTTAATTATATTGATAATATTGAGGATAGTGATGTTACATTAAAGTTGAGTATGAATTGAGATATTTTGTTAAAAGTTTTATTATATTAGCTATTTTCTTTGTATCTAGTTCGCGTGAGTCTTTGTACTCTTTTTTTTGTTTATTAAATTATTTTGTTAAATGTTTTAGTATAATTAGCTTTAGGGACAATTTATTTTAACTCTGACCTAAAGATACATTAAGTTTTCACCATGCTCACTAACAATATAATTTTTCACCCCAAATAATGTGAAGGTTATTCACATGGTTCGAAGAACTATCACATATCAGTTGTATATTCACCATAGAAAGTGCGAAATGTTATACAAATGCTTTCGCATTTTTAACTTTCGCACAATTGTCGCGTAATGCTTTTGCACTTTTTGGGGTTGTTGACAACCGATTCGGTCCGTACCGGATCGGATACTCAGCCCCTCCGGATCGGAACAAGAACCCGGTCTGATGCCAAAGTGCCGAGCTGGACCGCGGATTAGAGGGGCGGGAAACCGCCCTGGGAACAGATTCTCAGCCCGGCGCCAGACTCAGACCGGGGAGCCGCCGACCTGGATTGGTGCCGGACAGGAAGGAGACTATTCGTAGTCTCATGAGCATCTACGAACGAAGTGCCGACCTGAAAGTATGAGGAGGCCGACCAGGGACGACGCACGGGCCTCAATGAACATTAAAATATTCCCACTTGGGAGGTCATCATTGGACGATGGGACAGGTAATCATTGCCTAGCCCCCTACCAGCCTGCCTGAGTCAGCAAAGCCATCCAGCATTAAATGCCCCCCATGCTGGCATTTAATGCCCGTCAGACAATGATTGAAGAAACCTCAAATCGCATTAAATAACCGTCAGACGGACGCCGAACTGCCCTGCCAAATTACTGTGCGACAGGACCAGTGAACAGTAGCTGAATAGTGCCAC